GATCCAGAAATTGGAAGCAAGGCCCAACTTACACCTTAGGAAGCTCAGGGAAAAGCCTGATGGTCACCTACACGACAGAGGCACATTGGCCTCCAGGTGGGCGGGGAGCATTCTTCCAGCCCCGGCTCCGCCCCGGGCTTGGGTGGACAGACCAGCTTTACCTCCAGAGACTCCCCCTGTCTTCCCTGCATCGGCTGGCTAGACCCACACACTTTGGCTGCACATTCTTTGTTTAGATCTGCTGATGCCTTCCTTCGCTGGGAACGGTCCAGTCCTGCCCGCCTGGCGCTCAGCTCTGTGGATCTGAGGTTTTACTTCCTCTCTTTCCAACTTGGGAGGGGGGGATGGAGTGGCAATCTCATTGCTCCCTCCTCTCCTGGCCCCTCTCGCCTTCTCCTGGAGACCCAGGTTAAGTGGGCAGAGGATTCCGAGGGTCCTCTCCTGCCGTGGGATTGCACAGAGGGCTGGGTCCGCAGGCTGGCTAAAAGGACCTAGCCCAGGATTGCAAGGCAGTGCCCTCCCCGCAGCTGTACAGCCTCGGGCCTCCGGCGCAAAGCCCAGCAGGGGCGTGTCCGCGCGCTTACCTGCCATTGGCCGGGTGGGGCGGTCGGCTGCCTGAAGTGCCTGTGCTATAAGTGCGGAGCGAGTGACTGCGGAGCCAGGCGCGGCGCAGGATGGTGGACAGCGTGTACCGGACCCGCTCCCTGGGGGTGGCAGCCGAAGGGCTCCCGGACCAGTACGCGGACGGGGAGGCGGCGCGCGTGTGGCAGCTGTACATTGGGAACACCCGCAGCCGCACCGCCGAGTACAAGGCATGGCTGCTCGGGCTGCTGCGACAGCACGGCTGCCAGCGGGTGCTCGACGTGGCCTGTGGCACCGGGTAAGCCCAGGAGGGGGCCGGGGGCGTTGCATGAGATCGGAGTCCGGCTCAGCCTGTACCTCGCGGCCGCAGAACCACAGGACCGGCACGTCGGGGCGGCCTCTGCCAGTCTGGAATGGGTGGGACACCAGGGCCAGGAGCAGGTACCTGCCCGGCAGAACAGGCACTGCGAGTGCCCCCTGAGGCCAAGGGTTGGGGCAGGGGTGCTCAGGGAGAGGCCACTGAGAAGGGAGACTGAGTGTGAGTGAGGGTGTGGGCAGAAAAGTGAGCGTCCTTGAGGCTGTGGAGCCAGGGCCACGGACAGACTCCAAATATTCCTCCTGTGACGGCCTTGGGCAGTGTTAACAGTTAACATTGCTCAACATTTGCACCTGTCAAGCCAGTGCCAGGAGCTTTTGATACATCAGTTTTTCAAACCCTCACAAAGCCCCATGAGGTTAAGCAGTGATACTCTCTCATTTACTACTGGGGAAGTAAGGGCTCAGCAAAGTAAAAGTCCCTCATACAACATCCAGTGAAGAGGAGCTAACGGGCCCGGGTTGGTTAAGGTCTGTCCTGTGCTCTAAACCACCATGTTCTGCTGCCTCTTGTGCACACCTATTTTAACTTAGAGGAGCCTCAGCTTGTCTGTCTCTCAAATGGGAATAATACTATTTACTTCTCAGGATTGCCATGAGAATTACTGCATATTTGTAGAGTGCCTAGCTCTGAAGAGGCGCCTTAAAAAAAAAAAAAGTTGCCTCGTGGTGATAGGAAATAGATTTGTGAGGTCAGTGGAGAGGGCCTGGGGAGAGGAGGCAGAGGAATGGACTCTGAGAAGTGGAGACAAAAGTGTCCGGCACAGGGTCTCCTGGCCCTCCCAGGCTCCCCTGACTGCCCCTCTCTGTCTCTCTCCACTGGCCCTGCCCAGGGTGGACTCCATTATGCTGGTGGAAGAGGGCTTCAGCGTGACGAGTGTGGATGCCAGTGACAAGATGCTGAAGTATGCGCTTAAGGAGCGCTGGAACCGGCGGCACGAGCCCGCCTTCGACAAGTGGGGTATGCAGGTCTAGCCAGGCCCCCCCAGCCGTCACCAGGAACACTGTTCATTCTGCCTGGGGCTCCTTTAAGTGGGGGTGGGGGTGGAGTGTTGTGTTTTCCTCGGGGAGACAGCAAAATTTCCTCGGGGAGACAGCAAAATTACTGTAATTTCTCTGAAAAGCAAGGCTTAAGCTCCAGAATGAGACACTGGGTGTGAAGAGCTGGTTTTAACTGTGTTTATGGCATCTTGTCCCTCCCCTCAAAGAAAAGCCCATAAGCACAGAGCCCTCCTTCCAAACCAGGGCTCCTCCTCCCTTGATCCCTCTTCTCTCCTCCCCCTAACCGAACGGGGAGTTTTTGTGTCTTAAGAAGAATCCCAGGCAGGACTGCACTTGGTGGAGGTGGCTGCTACTGGTACCATGGTGCCTCCCTGATTCCTCTTTCCCTTCCTGGCCCCCAGTCATTGAAGAAGCCAACTGGATGACTCTGGACAAAGATGTGCCCCAGTCAGCAGAGGGTGGCTTTGATGCTGTCATCTGCCTTGGAAACAGTTTCGCTCACTTGCCAGACTGCAAAGGTGAGAGAGGGTGTGGCCTTGGGCATGGCCCCCGCCTTGAGCTGTACCCTCTTCCACAGACCTCTGGGCACCTGCTCTGCAAAGCAGACTCTCTGCCTCTCTCTGATTTGGCTCTGGCACCCCTGGGGAGGGGAGAGATGGGAGGGAGACTGGTGCTGGGGGCCCTGAGCAGATGGAGCCTTTCTGCCCCTGCCTGGCGCTCAGGGGACCAGAGTGAGCACCGGCTGGCGCTGAAAAACATTGCAAGCATGGTGCGAGCAGGGGGCCTGCTGGTCATTGATCACCGCAACTACGACCACATCCTCAGCACAGGCTGTGCACCCCCAGGGAAGAATATCTACTATAAGGTGGGACCCTCTGGGATTGGGGGTGGGGGTGGGGTGGAGGGAGGGTCCAGTGGCCCCAAGGTAGGTTACAGAGGCTAACGCAGCCTGCCCCACCACCTACAGAGTGACTTGACCAAGGACATCACAACATCAGTGCTGATAGTGAACAACAAGGCCCACATGGTGACCCTGGACTATACAGTGCAGGTGCCGGGGGCTGGCCAGGATGGCTCTCCTGGCTTGAGGTACCACTTGGCTCAGTGGGGGTGAGGCAGTAGTTGGGGAAGCTGAGGTCACCAGTCCTCATGGTTGCTGGGGGCTCTGTTACAGTAAGTTCCGGCTCTCCTACTACCCACACTGTCTGGCATCCTTCACGGAGTTGCTCCAAGCAGCCTTCGGGGGCAAGTGCCAGCACAGCGTCCTGGGTGACTTCAAGCCTTACAAGCCAGGCCAAGCCTATGTTCCCTGCTACTTCATCCACGTGCTCAAGAGGACAGACTGAGTGTGGCCTCAGCTCCCACAAGCCTCCACCCAGGCACTGCTAGGCTCTGTCTTGAAGATCGGGACCAGCAGCCCCACACCAGGGCCAGCCTCTAGAGCAGACTACAGCTGGGGTGCAGGGATGTGGGTTCCGCAGATGGAAGGGTAAACAATATAGTCTGTGCCTTTTTCAGTTCCTGCATGCCTTGTGTTTATGTCAGAAGGATCAGACTCCCACGATGCCCAGCCCCCTGCCCGCCCTTAGGGCTTACTCCTCCCATAACCCTGCTCTTTCCCACTCCAACCTTTCATGGCACAACACCAGTAGGGGGAGGGACACGTTTTATTTTCAGCCACAGAACTAGCCCTCTTAGGGCCCAATCCCCAGAACCAAGGCCCTGGCCCTCCTCCTGAGCAGATGGGCCTTCCTCTTAAAGCCAGCCTGGAAGGAGGGGCAAGTAGGCAGGAGATGTCTCTTGAGCTCTTGCTGCTGTCCCAATGCCACTTTGCACCCCGGGATCTCCTGGAGGGAGGTGGCCTCCAGGTGGGTTGGCAGCAGCCTGAGGAGGAGCCCTTCCCTCCCAGATCTCTCTGTGGGCTATCGAGGTACCTGCAGCCATGCTGAGTGGGGTCCCAGGCCCTGGGGGGCTTCTAGCAGGCAGCAAACTTGTGCTGGATGCGCTTGTACCGGAGCAGCTCCTGTTCACTGACTGATGGTTGCAGCCGGGCGGCAGCCTGCAGCAGGTCCTCCATGGTGAGCATCAGTGCTGAGCTCCCT